AGTGTGACAAGATGCTTGAACAGCTCGGTGAGTGGCGGCCGGGGAGCTGCCTCGGGCACCACGTGATGTTGGTTTGTGCGAGGATGGCTCTGATCTGTCACCCCTGGCTGATGGCCCTGTTTTGCTCTCTTTTTGGTCGTACTTGGGGCCGAACCCAGGGCCCCCGACCTTTGATTATCTTTGGTGATTTCTTGCTCTCTGGCAGACATGCGTCGGGATGTCCAGGAAATTTTTCGCATGACCCCCCACGAGAAGCAGGTCATGATGTTCAGTGCCACCTTGGGCAAAGAGATTCGTCCAGTCTGCCGCAAGTTCATGCAAGATGTAAATACCCTTCTACCTTCTCTCCCTCCACTCCCCGCCCGCTGCCTCCTCCCCTGCCTCGCTCCCTTCCTCCAGGCTCCCCTGTCCTTCAGACACCAAGAAGGGGGCCTGTGCCCATCGGGAGCGATGACTCCTTGAAGAGACAGAGGCAGAGACAGCTAGCGGCAGGGCCTGTGCGAAGCTAGGGAAACTCCGGAAGACTTGGTCGGGTTATCTGAGAGCCGGTAGTGTTCGCCGTTTTGGTCCCAGCATTTTGAACCTCTTCTCCCCTGGGGGAGGGCAGATCTGCTGCCCTCCGGCCCACCCGCCATCTGCGCAACCCCTCACGGCCACACACACTCAGGGTGGCACCGAGCATGCACCTCCCTGGGCAGGAGAGCAGAGAGGGACAGACAGACGCAGGGCCTGTCCAAAGAAGACCACGCAGCTCTGACACGCCCGCTGCAGGGGCGGGGGCCTCTGGCACCTCGGTCCCCTTCCCCGCCACCTTCCCGCCCACTCCTGCTTGCACCCGTCGGAGCCTTGGCTGATGAGAGCTGGCGGCAGAGAAGCGGCGCGCGACGAGGGATGAGGGATGCGGACGGCGCGACAGTGGATGGCGGCAGCGGAAGCCGCGGGAGCCCTGACCAGGAAGCCGAGGACCAAACCAGCCTCTTTTTCTGTTCCTGGTGTTTTCATGAATCCAGCACGTGCTGCGCCCCGCGTCCCCCCATACATGTTGGGGAGGGGTGTCCTCAATGGGGTGGTGGATTTTTTTTCTTTAAAGAAGTTATTTTTAAATCCTGAGCGGAGAGGGACTGGGATAGGTAACATGGAGCGGAACCTTGCGGAGTTGGGTGGAGCCGCAAGAGCAGCGGGCTGTGTCCCTCCCCTGCCTGCCGTGCTCCTTCCCTGGGCTCAGAGTTCTCGCCAGCTCTGCTTGCGGCCAGACTTCGATTTGCACTGCGTTAGCCTGCCTTCTGTAGGCTCCCGTCTTGGTCCCCAAGATGGTCCAGAGAGGCCTAGGGAAGTCGGGGTTTGGAGTTGCCTTGTGTCAGTTCCTGGCCTTTTTATGCCCCCGCTCTAAGGGTCATGTGAGTAATGTTTTTTAACGGATGCATATTGGCTGCTTATTTGCTTTTTAGCACCAGTTATTGATACTTCCAGGTAAACCTATAAGTGGTTTTACCCTTGGAGACCAGTGTCCTCTGCACTGTTAGCTCTTGGTCTGAAAGCAAGCTGTTACTCACTAGAGTAATTTCTACTTCTAAAAGGCACTTGGACTGCATCCATCATAGCACTCTGACCTTGAAGATGGCCACTTTCAAAAGCGCATTTGGGGCTGGGGATTTAGCCCAGTGTTTCCGCCGCCGGCCTCGCAAGCGCAAGGTCCCAAGTTCAGACCCTGGCTCCAGGGAAAAAAAATGCGTTTGGCTCTGTATTTGAGATGAAATGGAGCAGTCCCCAGCTCTCGCAGCTGACTCCGATGGAGGTTTTTGAGCCAAGGCCCTGTTTCCCATCACCCTTGGGTGCTGGGCTGCAGTCCCTGTAAGCCCGCCCTCCCGTTTTCCTTCCTCCACCGTCTCCGTTGGAGGTACTGGGCCGCTTGGCTTTGGGCGGTTTCACTGCTCCTTTATTTTGTGAAGTTCTTTCCCATGAGTTTTCAGTTGGGCAGTCTTAAAACGCAGCCGATGGGAAGAACATGAGATCTGAGGTGACCACGATAAAGGGTATTTTTGGTGGCGGTGGGGATTTCAGTCTCCTCCCCATCCCCCGTGGGGTGCATTGGAGATCCGCTTCCTCCGCCCCCCCAGGTTTACCCCCCCCACTCTGCCCCTCCCGTCCCCCACCCCTCCTCCCCCTCAGCCAATGGAGATCTTCGTGGACGATGAGACGAAGTTGACGCTGCACGGGTTGCAGCAGTACTACGTGAAACTGAAGGACAACGAGAAGAACCGGAAGCTCTTTGACCTTCTGGATGTCCTTGAGTTCAACCAGGTCAGTTGTTCAGGTCCGGTAGGGTGAGCCTTGGACACCTCCAGCTGTAGCAGCAGCCTGCGTGTTGAGCAATCTTTATTCGGGGAGCCACATAGCAGTTTACTTTTTTTGGTGCTGGGATCGGACTTGCACCCTTGTGATACCAGGCAAGTCCTCTGACTGCATTCCCACCGGGCCTTCACACCGAGCTACGTCCTGGCCCTTTCAGGTTTCACTCGGGCTGGTCTTGAACTTCGGATTCACTTGCCTCAGCCTCCCAGGGTGCTGGGGTTACCGGCGTTACCACCATTTGTTGGGAACTGAGCGAGAGCAGGGTGGAGGATGCTGAAGTATGTAGATGGTAAAGGGCACAAGTAAAATAAACTTGGAAAAGTTCAGTCCATGAAAGGTTTTAGCCAGTATGTAAAGAGCTGTTTTGGTCACTTACAGTTCTTTTTTTTGGGGGGGGGATACTGGGTATTGAACTTGGTTCCTTGTGCTTGCAAGGCAGGCCCTGGAACCACTGAGCTAAATCCCCAGCCCTAGTTAGAATTCTTAAATCTGTATTCCTTATGGAAGAAAACATCCCAGCATCTTACCCGTTCTGTGGTCGGTTTGCACTGAAAACTACCTTGTAGAGTGAAAGGTAGGTTCCTGGGTTGAGTGTTGTGAGGAGGGAGAGCAGCGCGATCTCGGCAGACCTTGGTTCTAATGCCTGACGAGTGTCCGTGGGCAGCCTCACCCTTGTCTCCTGGTTACCACTGCACACCGCCTCGGGCCAGCCTGCGAAGGAGAAGTCAGCCAAGGGAAAGGCTGTCATCTCTGGAGCAGAAGCGGAATGCGTGATGGAGAACGAGAGGGACTAAGGACCCTGGAGAAGACAAAGTCCTGACGGCTGCACTGCTAACTTCTCTCCCCCATCGGCCCGCGCCCGTGCCCCGCGCCTCGCAGGTGGTGATCTTTGTGAAGTCCGTGCAGCGGTGCATCGCCCTGGCCCAGCTCCTGGTGGAGCAGAACTTCCCAGCCATCGCCATCCACCGCGGGATGCCCCAGGAGGAGAGGTGTGGCGTGGGGCGTGGGGTTCAGAGGTGGGTGAGGAACCGGACAGAAGGGACTCAACCATTTTCTAATTTCCTTTCTCACAAAGGCTTTCTCGGTATCAGCAGTTTAAAGACTTTCAACGGCGGATCCTCGTGGCCACCAACCTGTTTGGCCGAGGCATGGACATCGAGCGGGTGAACATCGCCTTCAACTACGACATGCCCGAGGACTCCGACACCTACCTGCACCGGGTGAGCCCCGCCCACCCCCACTGGCCGTCACCTCCTCTGGTGGCTTCCTGACCCCTTGTCTCCTTCCAGGTGGCCAGAGCAGGCCGGTTTGGCACCAAAGGCTTGGCAATCACGTTTGTGTCGGATGAGAATGACGCCAAGATACTCAATGATGTGCAGGACCGCTTTGAGGTCAATATTAGCGAGCTGCCTGATGAGATAGACATCTCCTCCTACAGTGAGTACGGGGCCCAGGGGAGCTGCTCTCCCCAGTCTTTGTCTCCTGTTCGTCCTTGGGTCCCTTGTGCAGGGAGTGGGCACCTGATGGCCACTTGACCTCTTCCTGCCTCCTGGTTTTTGGGGCCGTGTGGGGGCCCTTCCTTCTCTTGTCACTTGGTTTCTCTCCACTCCTGAGTCCGTCTCTGAACCCACACAGTGCCAGACATCACAAGTACGTACCTGTTTCTCCGGAGTTGGGCCTTTTGGGGCCTGGGCCTCACAGTTGTGTGCTCTCTCTCCAGTTGAACAGACGCGGTAGAGGACCCTGTGCTAGAATGGGACATTCTGCAGGAGGGGACGCTGCGTGTGCGGTGAAGGCGACACTACTGCACCTGCCCGGCAGCCCCCTCCCGGCCCGAGGCTTGCTCCTGTGCATCACCACCACTCCTAAACTCCGTTCCCCATTTATCAGCATTTTTTTAACAAAATTAAAAATGAAACACAAACGTGTCTGTGGTATCTCTTAAGTACTCAGTCCTTTGTTGTGGGTAAAACTCTGGGGCCTCATAGCCTGCTGTGTGCCCGGTGGAGTGGGTGTGGCCTAGGCTCGGACCACCCTCTCCGTGGCCTGGGCCAGAGAGCTGGGCTGTTTCTGGAAGGGCTCCTTGGGGGTGGTGCGCAGCGTTTCTGGTGGACAGGGCACTGGGGCAGCTCACGTGTCTGTTCTTGCAGCTTCTGCATCTTGAACACCAGGGCTTTGGGGCATGGGCCACCTCAGCTGGTTGGGTGCCTAAGCCCTTGGGAGCTGTGTTGCAGAGCCTGGTGCCTTACCCTGCCTGCTCCCTTCAGAAATTGTTTTGTGGTACTGGGGATTGAGCCCAGGGAGCAGAGTTTTGTTTTACTTTAATTTTGCAGCAGTTTTGCTAAATTGTCCAGATCTTGGAAGCAGCTTCAGGGGCGTCCTGGAGGGGAGGGAGTCGGGGAGGGTCCCGGCCATGCTCTCCTCTCGGCCTCTGCACGGGACTCGGGAAGGTGGCAAGTGACAGAGCAATTGGTGCGGGAGGAGAGGGTCAGGGCAGACTCCGAGGTCGGCAGGAGCGGCTGTCGGTCCCGGGCCCAGGGGGGTCCTGTGAGGACGCTCATCCTGGGATTTCCCTCTGCCTGGCTTTCACTCCAGCCTCTGTCCAGCCGTGTCGGATCATTCTGCCTGGACACTCGTGACGCGTCCGCCATTCCCATGCCCATTGGTTGCTGCCGTCTAGGGCAGCCAATCAGCGTCTCCCGAGTTCCTCTGTAAAGCCTCCACCGACCCTGACAGTAAGAGTCCCGAACTCCGAGAATGGGGGTGATGGCTCCAGAATCCTGCTCCTGCTGCTGTCGGGGACCCTGGTTCTGCCCGAGACCTGGGCGGGTCAGTGCGGGGAGGGAGGCGGGGAGGAGGAGGGGGCCCGAGAGGAGGTCGCGGACTCACCACCCGCCCCGCAGGCTCCTACTCCCTGCGCTACTTCCACATTGCGGTGTCCAGGCCCGGCCGCGGGGAGCCCCGCTTCATGACCTTGGGCTACGTGGACGACACGCAGTTCATGCGCTTCGACAGCGACGCCCTGGATCCGAGGGAGGAGCCGCGGGCAGTGTGGATGGAGGAGGATCAGGCGTATTGGGATCGGAGCACACAGATCCACAAGGACACCGCACAGATTTACCGAGTGAGCCTGCGGAACCTGCGCGGCTACTACAACCAGACCGAGGATGGTGAGTGACCCCGGCAGGGTCAGAGCTCACACCCCTGCCCGGCCCGCACCAACAGGGTCCGAGGTTCACGCGGAGACAGCGGTCGGGGAGGAGCCGGGATGGGACCGGGTTTCATTTTCGGTTCTGGTGAAAATCCGGGGGGCG